TTGAGCTCATTTCAAATGCCAGCAAGATTATGCATAAGATTCTGCAAGCTAGGCTTCAGCTGAACTGAAGATTACCAGAACAGGATGGTTTTCTAAGAGGCAGAGGAACTGGAGACCAAATTGCCAGCATTAGCTGGATTATGGAGAAAGCAAGTGAGTTCTAGAAAAACATCTATTGCTTCATTGCCTACACTAAAGCCTTTAATCAAAGGTGTGGTCACATACCTTTTGGTCACAAAGGTATGGATCACAACAAAATTTGGCAAGTCCTCAAAGAGATGGGAGTACTAGATCATCTGACTTGTCTCCTGAGGAACCTGTATGCAGTCCAAGAAACCAACAGTTAAAATCAAACATGGAACAACTGATTGGTTTAAGATTGGAAAAGGAGTATGATAAGGTTGTATATTGTTACCTTATATGCAGAGTACATCATGTCAAATGCCAGGCTAGATGAATCAAAAGCCGGAATTAAGGTTGCCGGGAAAAATATAATTTATGGGACCTTTCCTTTTGTTCTTAGTTCAGGCTATTATCTCCCACCTGGACTAGTTTGGTACAGAGGAATAGACGCTAAGGTTTGAGTACAAGGAAGTAGATTCGCAGTCTAGCTACTAGCCACCTGTGTGACCTTAATTAAGCAAGCCACTTTGGTGAATTGTCACATGAGGGATTTTTCTGTCCCTTTCTAGATAGATAGATATAGTGTTTATTAAGCACTTTGTCCGTACTTGTCGTTGTACCAAGCATTTAGAATACAAATGCAAGCAGAAAGACAGTCTACCTTCAAGAAGCTTATAGTCTAATTAAGGAAGACAACCTATAAGAAGGAGCTAAAAAGGGAGGGGGTGGTGATACGTGGGCAGAGACAAGATGTAATAAAAGTCCAGAGAGTTGGGAGGGTTAGCTGTGACAGAAGTTAGGGTGTCTGGCCCCTGGTATTGAGTATCTTCCCTCTCCAATCCATCCTCCACAAAGCTGCTAAATTAATACACCTAAAATACAGATTTGACTATGTCACTTTTCTGCTTATGAAGCTTTGGTGTCTTTCCATATTAGGACAAAATACAAACTCATCTATTTTAAAATTGAAAGGCCTTCTCAAGCTGCCTGTAGCCTGCCTTTCCTGGCATGCTACTCCTCATCAAGAAGTTTGTGCTCCGGTCAAATAGGTCTGGCTGTTCCTCATAATGTTTCATTTTCCATTTCCATGCCTTTGCAGAAGCTGCCCTCCATGCCTGGAATATTCTCCCTCCTTCATCTCTGCCTCTTGGAACTCCCTAACCCCTTTCCAATCTCAGCTCAAGAGCGAGAGAGCCTTTAAAAAGCCTTTACTTTAAGAAGCCTATTCTCCCCTCTCTGCCCCATCCCCATTATCACTTCCTTCCTTAAGCACCAATTGAGGTATTATTCTGAACTACACACACACACACACACACACACACACACACACACACACACACACACACACACGCACAGATACACACACACACACACACACACATATATACACACATATATACATATAACCTACTGCAGTAATGCAGACACTGCTCCAGGAGGAGCTAAGCCACTGGCTTCTGAAGACCCTGGGATTTATGGGTCCTCATCTTCACCCTAGTAATTTCTCATCCTGCCTACCAATAAACTGCCCCTATTGCCCCTTCTACCCCCTTACCTTCCTTCACTTCTTGATCTGAGAACTGTAATCAAATCAGCACTACTTTGCCTCAGGAAAATGGCATGACAATCGAGGTCTCTGTTATGCCATCCAAGATCTTTGTCTTTGCCGCTTGTAACTCTCTTGGCTGGATACCAATTTCCGGGAGCCATCTCCATTTTATATTTGTATGCAATATATCTTTATATAATTGTATCTTCAGCTCTTAGAACAGTGCTTAGCACATAGTAAGAACTTAGCCAGTGCTTCTCTGCGTAAACATGTTGTAGTCCCCCAGTAGAATATAAATTACTGGAGGACAGTATTTTGATTTTTATATATTTTTATGTGTATGTACATGTATATATGTGTGTATAGACTGTTCCAGGTCTGTGTTATCTGATTTTATCCTCACATGAGTTTGGGGCTGTTATTTTCCCCATTTTATACACAAGGAAACTAAATCACAGAGAAGTTAAATGGATTGCTTAGGGCTATATGGCTAGTAAATATTTGAGCCTGGATTTGAACCCATGTCTTCCTGACTCCAAGTCATCCACTGTCTATCCGCTGTGCCACCCACCCACCAGGAACTGGCTTAAAGGGTTCCTGTTTCCTCCTTAATTCTGCTTGTGAAATCTTAACTATTATTATTGGTCCTTATGAGTTTTGAGGATAGGAGTGGAGGGTGTGGTAAGAGACTGCCACTCTGTGTTTATCCCAATATTTCTGGTTTTTGTGTTCAGCTAATTTTCTGTCATAGAGGAAGATTCTGAGACCATCCAGTGTCTCTTCCCTGACTCTCGGCAGACTGCTCAATCCATCTGGGACAGATGGCTATCTTTCTTTATCCCAGAGAGGATTTTCATTGTAGCTAAGTCCAAATCTTTCCCATTGCAATTTCTCCTATTTCCTCTGTCCGACTCCATGTACAGGAGCATTTCAGTTGAGGTGATTTGTGTTGATAGAATAAAAGAGTATTACTAAACCACAGAATCTCAGAGTGGACAACATCTGATAGACCATCTATCTAATTCAAATTTCACTGAGATAAGGATTCCTTTTTCGATATGTCTTACCCTGTGGCAATGCAGCTTTGACTGGCACATAAATACTATCAGTGATGTGAAATGTACTACTTCCCAACGCAGTCTTTTTTGAATAGCTCTAATAGTAAAAAAAATAAAAATTTTAAAGAAAGCCTTTCTTGCCACAGAGCCAGAAGCTGTCTCTCTTTGATATCTACCCACTTTTTTCTAGTTCTACCCTCTGGGATCAAGCGGAACGGGTCTTTCCACATTGTAGCTCTTTAAGTACCTGGAGATATGGTTAATCACATCTGGTGAATGTTCCAAGTTCCCTCAACCCATCTATGCTTGCACAGAACATTCTATAGTCCTCTTTAATGAGGAGTCCCTTCTTCTGGATATGCTCATATTTGTCAGTGTGCTTCCTAAAATGTAATACCCCGTACATAATACAGTATTACAGATGTGATCTGCCCAAGGCAGAGGAGGACATGATTAAGAGAACTCTTTTCTTCTGGACATCATGATTCTATTTATTAGTATGGCCTAGGGTGACATTCTTTGGGCTTTTTTTTGTACTCTCTCCTGCACCATCACTCTTCCTCCTAAGAGCCCTACTCAACGTATACACATATGTAGACATAAATAAAATACCTGAATTTCATCTTGGCACTTGGTACCTGGCCAAGTCTCTCATACTAATGTGTGTCTGTGTGCACATGCATATACCTGTGTAGCATCTCTCTGATTTGACAATCTATATTTAAAAAAAGGAAATATAGTTTGGCATAACTCTTGAAAGTAATTGGAAGGAATTTCGAGTAATACTTGGAAGTAATATTGAATTTTCATGGCTGCTTCATTTAAAAAAAGCTAGCATTTATATAACTTTTTAAGATTTGAAAATTGCTCTAGAAACATTAGCTCATTTTATCCTTTCAACAACCCTGTGAGGTAGGTACTGGTATTATTTCCATTTTACAGGTGAGGAGACTGAGGCTCAGAGACCTAAAGTGACTTACCTAGGGTCACACAACTAGTAATAAATGTCAGTACCTGGATGTGAACTCAGGTCTTTCAGGCTTCAGATCTAACTATATACAACTGTGCCACCTAGCTGCCTAAGAGCTCAGAATCTATTGCTTCTATTCTCTATACAGTCTTAAATTTATCTAGGATTAGAAATCAAGCTCGTTGTCCTTTTTAAAAAAATTAATCTGTATTATTCATATTTTCTTCATTACTTTCTTTTTTCTTCTTAATTTTTTTGAGATTCATTTATAACATTCTTTTCTTTTTAAATTTTGAGTTTCAAGTTCTCTCCCTCCCTCCCTCCCAACCCTTCCCCACCTGCTCAGAAGGGAAGCAAAATGATATCAGTTAATTATACATGTGAACTTATGCAAAACATATTTCTATATTATCCATGTTGCAAAAAAAAGGCAAAAAACACTGAAAGCAAGAAAAATGTACTTTAGTTTGCATTTGGAGTTTATCCATCCGTTCTCTCTCTGGAGATGGACAGCATTTTTTCATCATGAGTTCTTTTGGAATTGTCTTGGATCATTGTATTGATCAGAGTAACCAAGTCTTTCACAGTTGATCATCATTACAACTCTGCTGTTACCGTGCACAATGATATCCCAGTTGTCACTTCACTTTGCAATCAGTTCACATAGATCTTGCCATATCTTTTTCTGAAACCATCCTCCTTGTCATTTCTTATAGCACAATAGTACTCCATTACAATCCTACACCACAACTTGTTTGGCCATTCCGAGGTTGATGAGTATCCCCTCAATACTCAATTCTTTGACACCACAAAAAGATCTGCTACAAATATTTTTGCACATATGGGTCCTTTTCCTTTTATATCTTTGGGGTGTTGCTGAGTCAAAGGACTTTTATAGCCCTTTGGGTATAGTTCCAATTTGTTCTCCAGAACGGTCACAGCAGTTTACAATTCCACCAACAGTTTATTGGTATACCTATTTTTCCTCATCCCTTCTAACATTTGTCATGAGGTGGTATCTCAAAATTGTTTTAATTTACATTTCTCTAATAAAGAGTGACTTAAAGTATTTTTTTCATATAACTATAGATGCTTTGATTTCTTCTTCTGAAAACTGCCTGTTCATATCCTTTGACCATTTATCAATTGGGGAATGGCTCTTATTTTTATAAATTTGACTCGGTTCTCTATATATTTGAGAAATAAGGCCTTTATCAGCAAAAAATTTTGTTGTCATTTGCTCATTTTCCCAGCCTATTTCTTGACTTTGCCCTTTATGCTGAAGTTGGTCTTTGCTCACCTGGTAGTGGCGAGGTGCAGTCCCAAGCTTTAGGCCTTTTCATACTGTTGCTTTTTAGAGCTAGTTCTGGGAGTCTGCAAGTTGGTGCTTCCAGGGTGGTATGATCTGAGAGAAGGTCACTGCTTTCCTGATCCTTACCCAGGAATGGCCACTGCTCTGCTGCAACCACAAATACTAGTGTTCGTCTCTGCCTTGGAACTATGACCAGGCTGCCTTGTGACTGACTACAAGCATGCCTGGAACTGTGACCTAGAACTGTTTATGGGCAACAGGGTTGCCAATAAGTACCAGGCACGCAGTGCCAGCAAAGGGTCCCCTGTAATCTCTTTCTGACCAGTTGTCCCACAATCTTGCTGTCTCTGGTCTGAGGGTGCCTAAAGCTACTTCTGCCTCTGGGCTGCCTCTGAGGCTGTCCAGTGCTCTTCATACTGTCCCCCACCCTGATGGCACAGATATCTCCTACCAATCTCTTCAGTTGTCTTAGGCTTGAAAAATGTCCCACTCTGATGTCTTGTTAGCTCTGCCGCTCCAAAATTTGATTTGAGGAGTTATTTTAAGTTATATTAATGTTTAGAGGAGAGTTTCATTGACCTTTAGAAACAATTCTGGGGTTGTAGGCATTGAAGATGAATTTGAGAATCTCTTAATCACATGAAATTCAAGGAGGTGATTACCATATAATTATTTTTCCAGATATTTCAGGGAGCCCATCTTCTGACATGTGATGGGAGGTGTTACCTGTATTTGGGGAAAGCGTGCCCAAATGATTAAGGCATTAATTATCCAAGCAATGAAATTGAGTAACCAACAGATGTTTACAACCCTCCCTACCCCCCACCGCTTTCATCTCTGGCCCTTCCATTCTGGGAGATTGGTGTCTTGACTGGCAAATGTCTCAGCTGGTTCTCTATTTCAGTCTGATTGCACCAGCTATGCCTCATTTCACTCCCTAATCCCTTATCCATCTTTCATGTCCATACCCTCTCTAGTATAACCCCTCCAGTTCTGGAACCAGGATTAAGTCAACTTTGCCCATTGTTCCTGGAAGGGATATGTCTGTCTACTCCTATTGTCCCATTCAACTCCCCAGGAAATTACCAGACCACAATGCCCCTCCTTTATGTGAAATGTCTCCCCTGTTAGAATATAAACTGTTTCAGGGCAAGAACTGTTTTTGCTTTTGTGTTTGTATCTCCATTGCTTATCACAGTTCTGGTCACATAGTAAGTGCTTTATAAATAAATACCTTTCATCAATGTTGTTTCAGACCATTTAAAACAACTAGACAATATAAGGTTGGAATATTGTTGTGGTGTCGGAAATGATGAGATGATGTACTTGGAAAAATATGAAAAGACTTGGACTTATAAAGGAAAACATTATCCACCCTCAGAGAAACAGAGGAAAAAGAAGTATAATATGGTCTTACATAGATGCATATGAATATATATATTTACATGAGCACAATTTTATATATATGTGCATATATCTATATATCTATATGTCTAAGTATATGTATATGTAAGTGTATGTATATACAGGTATATGTGTGTATATCTTTGTGTGCATACTTCTATATATGTGTGTATATATGTAAGTATGTGTATACACGTATATGTGTATATGTGTGTGTGTGTGTGTGTGTGTGTGTGTGTGTGTGTGTGTGTGTGTGTGTAGCCATGCTTAATTGTAGCCTTCAGGGAAGGGTGAAAAAAAGAACAAAGTAAAAAGTACACAGCAGAGAACAAAAGAAAACTTACAAGGGAGCAAAGAAAAGATGGACACTACTGAACACAATGTATAGTATTTATCATATAGGCTTTTTTGAAATTTATTGCTGTATATTTTGAATCCTGTCTCACATTCTGCTATGCACATGGCAATGCTTTTTTTTCTTTTCTCATTTTGCATTATTTTAGTTTTAGTATTTAAGTTTTTCTTTTTTCTTTTCTTATTTTGTATTTAAGTTCAAAATAAAATATAAAAAACACCCTTTTCATTTATTATTTCTTGTCAAATGGATCTTCATTTAGAGTTGGAAGGGACTTCGGGACCATCAATGATCCAATCCTCTCATTTCATAGATGAGTAAACCAAGGCTCAGAAAAGTTATTAGACAAAGGTCATGTACTATTTCGCTCCCAAATAAGAAAAGTTCAGGATATTAATCTATCCTCTTTGTTAGAACAAATCTCTATTATATGAGCCCAGAATATTCTTCTCATTAGCACGACCCCCAAAAGTGCTATTTTACATTTATTAGTCATTGGACCTCATTGCCACCGGAGCACTAAAACATCGGCAGTTTTGGTGGCTAAAGATTAACTTAAAAGTTAATGAATTATTGTCCATGCTTTCCATGTCTACACTACTTCCCAAGTTCTTTGAGACTTGGGTATAGCACTTTACCCAGATCTAGCATTATGGGATTATGTTTTGTTGTATACTGAGGAGTTGGGGCCAGTGCTATAAATTAGCAACATATTGTGAGCAGATCACAGATCAGATGAGTCTGTTCACTTCTCAAGGATGTCAGGAGATGGGTGAACAGATTCCTTATTCATTTTGGTGGAAATGTTAATGACCTGTTTCTATTATGACTTTATGCTGTCTTCTGTTACTTAGATGTTTCTTTTCTTCTTGCCTAAAAGCTTTAAACTCTAGACACATTTCAAAGATTATTTTTTATTGTTTGTGTTTTGGTTAAAAAAAATCAGAACATTTTGTTCTCCTGCTTCTTATTCAGATTAGTTAATCATTCCTGGGAATGGTGTTTTTGTGAGGGAAAGGACACGTTTGGCAGTTTAGGATTATCTAGTGCTTTTAAAAGTCAAAATGCCATTCCTTGTCCATTCCTTTGTTTTCACATGGTTTTACAAGGAAGATTGATGCACGCAATTGTAATTGTTATTAATTTTAGAATGCAGTTTCTGTGAAATCATGGTGATGAATGATATGATAGGCTTACAGATGTTCTAGAGTTCTAGAAATTCGGTGTAAAATACACATGGAGGATCTTACATTGTTCAGTTTGACAAATTAAATACCAGCAAAGTGTAGAGAACTATGCCTACTATTGTGGGAGGTACAAAGATAAATAAGACATGGTCTCTGACTTCAAAGAATTTTCATTTGCAGGGCTGAGATGGTGGTAGGATCACAGTATCTTAAAGTTGGATGGAACTTGAGAGGTCATATTGTAGTTCAAAGGCTACTTGAACAGATAACTCTCTCCTGTGTGCCTGGTAAATAAGCGGTCATACCAAGTAGCGGTTTTAAACTCAAGTAGAAAGGGATCTCTGCACCAGGAATTGACTTAGAAAAACCACAAATCAACATTGTCTGTGTATTGTATTGTATTCATTGTACTGAATTTATTTTTTTAAACATTTCCCACATTTTAATCTGGTCCAGGCTGCACTCAGGCTTGAGACACAGGTTTGACATCTTTGGTCCAGAGCAATGGTAATGGAGAACCTTCTAAAATTCGAGGTTGTTCTTTTTATTTTTTGCTAGCTCTGATTTGTAGGATTTCCCCTCTTATATTTAATGAAAATTTATTTCTTTGCAACTTCAAGTATTTGTTCATTTCTTCTGCTTCCTAGGGACAAGCAAAGCAAATCTAATCTCCCTTCCCCATGATAGCTACACTTTAAGGCTTCTCTTCAAGCTGTAAAGAAGACTGGGAGGGGCAGCTAGGTGTCACAGTAGATAGAGCACTGGCCCTGAGGTCAGGAGGACCTGAATTCAAATCCAGCCTCAGACCAAACACTTGACACTTACTAGATGTGTGACCCTGGGCAAGTCACTTAACCCCAATTGCCAAAAAAGAAGAGGAAGACGACGACGCCGACGACAACGACTGGGAGTTCCCAGAGCATAAGGACTGTTTTTGCCTTTCTTTGTATCTCCAGCATTTAGTACAGTGCCTGGCACATAATAGGCCCTTAATAAAAATGCTTATCAATTGACTGACTAAACGTTGCCAGTGCTTTTAACTGATCCTCATATAACACATTCTCCATTCCTTTGGTTGGCCTGGTTAACGTCCTCTGATGTACTTTGGTTTGCTTTTGGGTCTTTATTTTAGAGTAAAACACTCAGTCAGTGATTGGCACATAGTAGGTACTATAAAAAATGTAAGTTGTTGTTATGATGATGATGATGATGATGCAGTCCTCAGAACCTCTCAGGAATTTATAACTTGGAGTGTTATCTAGCCATGTGATATAGTGGATAGAGTGTCTCAGAGGTCAGGGAAATCTGGATGCAAATCCTGTTACCAGAACTTAGCAGCTATGCAACTCTATGGAAAAAGTTCTTTAACTTCTCTGGGGTTGTTCTTCATCTGTAAAATGGAGATAATACTGGTAGAATCTCCCTTACAAGGTTGTTCTAGGGCTCAGATCAGATAATAACACATCAGCTCTTATTTGTACTGTTGAATTTTTGTGTCATTATAGGACTTTAGCTTTATCCTTATTAAAATTGATTTCACTCAGTTCGACCCATTGTTCTAGCTTGTTGAAATATTTTTGGATCTTACCATCATCCAGTGTGTTACCAATCCTTCCTAACTTTGTGTGATCTGCAAATTTGCTAACTATCCCATCTATACCTTCATTTGAGATATCATTAAAAATGTTGAAGAGCACAAGACCAGGGACGGAGTTCCTTTAGGCACTCCACTAGAAACTGTTACATGTTGACGTCGATCCATTTAATGATTACTCTCAAGGTAATTCAATTCATTCAGTCAGCTTTGAATTCACTTAATCCTGCTATCATTTAGCCCACATCCCTATTATAGGGTGTCCCAAAAGACTTAGTGCAATTTTAAGCTAATATTACTCATAAGCATTGCATAAGAAACTTGTCGGATGCTTTATTGAAGTCTAGTTACATTAAGCATGCAGCATTTCCCTTGGTCTAGTAAATTTATCAATAGAGAAAATGCATTTAGTCTGGTATGATTTGTTCTTGATGAAGTCACGTTGGCTCTTACTAACCTCTGATATACTCTCTAAATGCTTGACAAACTATACATAAATAACTGTTAAAAATAGACCAATTTAGAAGTGCTAGGTGAGATCTGAATAATAATAATAATGACAATAACAAGTAGCATTTAAGGTCTTTAAACTTTAAGCTTTAAAAAGTGCTTTACAAATATTATGTCA